AAGCTTCTTTCACAGGTACAAGTAGAGTAATTCCTTATAAAAAAATTCTAGAATCAAATGCCATTTAATGAACACTACTATTTGGCACAACACATTTTGAATATTCCAACTGTTGTCATTGGGAAGAACCTACTGCAGTCTACCCAGAAAGACAACTAATCATATTATCTAGCTAAAAGTTGTGGCTTATTGATTAGAAACAATGTGAAGTTGAGAGCCTTGATCATTTAGAGACTGAGGGTGTTGACGTTCACGTGTAGTACGAAGTATACTAACGCAGGATCTAATAACCACAACTTCTATAGTATTCGTTCCGCGCAGACCAAAGGCAAAGCAAAACACAAGAATTGATCGTCCAAATTACGAAATATATTTCGGGACCAAATCGGAGTGCGAGATTATTGCTTAACTAGTTATTGATCATCGACGAACGAACGAACATAACACGACAGAGTGCCAAATGGCGTGGATGCTTGACCGTCAGCCTTTAGCTAAATAGATTTTCAGTTGTAATCATACTCCCACTGAACTACACCCAGTAATAAATGTTATTCAGTGTTGTTATAGAACTGACTGAATTTATACCATCAACGAAAATTAATGTCAGTTTAAGTGGCATACCAAGTGCAGCCTATTTAGAAACATGTGATATGGCATATTAGTCGTTAATCTAGCTTTACATGTACTGAATTCGAATCCTTACGATTTTTTTGGAAATCAATTAACTGCGTATTTGATTAAGAATTCTGAAGAAGCTCAGGTTAAAAGGGTAGTAGGAAGAAGCTGAACATAGACACGCGTAAGTACTAGCGGCTCCTGACTCAACCCCAACCCTAATATATCTATAGCCAACTCGGCGAAGTCGAAGCACCATAGCCAAAGTCAAGGTCTTTCGAAAGCTGACCTTCAGGAACCAAATCAAATCATGCCAGCCTTTCGGGATTTGATGAGGATAGATACAGTATTTTACTTATTCTCTAGGTACCTTCTGGTGAAATCTATACCGTTAGGTAGGGTTATGGCTTTTAAGAATAAGGATACGAGTCTAGGGTTAAGCTTAGAATTAGGGTTAAATTTAGAATTGGGAGTGAGGATTAGAGTTAGAGTTAGGAGCAGGTTACAGAACAGTGCCGGAAATATCCATGGATTTCAAAGTACCATGAACAACGGTCACCTGGATGATGCATCTATCGCACATTCTATGATTTCTTTGCAGATCATCTGTGTAGTAACTGAGAGGCATTCTTACAAAACATACACGACAACTATAAAGTACAATGGTTTTAGTGCATTTTTCAACGATTATGTGACTTTTTGTAAATGAATTCTGACTAGTTGTCCAAGTTCACTGTGATCTTAGCTATGATAGTTTAACTTTACCGCCAACTCTAATATCCCCTAATTATGTTAATTTAACCGTAACCTGTCCCTAGCCGAAACATAACTATAGTCTTTCCTCAGCTACCTAAAACTAACTAGGTATCCTTTCTAATATTCTTATATTTCATCCAACAGTTTTTTCACATGGTTTCACTGCGTCGTTCTAACCTAGAATCGTAAACGTGACAGGACAAACTAAAGAATGGCGACCATGGAGTGAGAACGCACCGGTGACCTTGAACGCATACCATTCGTTGGGTTCAGGAACTTGCCATTGTTACAGCGCCAGTGTAAACTCTGTGGACGAAGTGAGGTGTAAATTCCATTCCGATCTTGTTTTTAAGTACTCTTTGGATAATGAGGTGATAGCGCATCGCGGTTAAGGTTGAGAGTTAGAAGGTTAGGTTTAAGGTGAGGTTCATGGTCAAGATTAAGGTGAGGGTGTTTTATTATCTGTATTTTTCTTGCAGATAAATAAATGGCAGGGAAGTGTGTTGTGGTTCATATATATGATAAATATGAAACTTGAAAACTGTAACCCTTCATTACAATAGGGAAGTATTAGTGAGTTAAATCAGGGTAGAAACGTCGTAAAGACGTTTCCCTTATGTTCTCCGGGTATAACATAATTTGTGTGTTTATGTTTGATGTCACATAAAATCGAAGACTTACAAGCGAAAACCGACAAACTGGTCGAAGAAGCAGCAAGGACAGGACTCCAGGTGAACATACACAAGACGGAAATTATGAAAATAACCAACCAACAACAACATCCAGCGCCAATCGCCATCAATGGGAGGGATTTGAAAGAGGTTACTTCATTCACTTATCTAGGGAGCACTGTCTCAACTACAGGAGGAACAGACGAGGATGTCAAATCGAGAATCGGGAAGGCAAGAAACACATTCATCAACCTGAAACCAATCTGGAAATCTTCGTCACTCAGCCAGCATCAACAACAAAATTCGGATTTTCAATACAAACGTCAAGTCACTTCTTCTATACGGATCAGAAACTTAGCGGGTCACAAAGAATATCTCCAACAGGTTGCAGACCTTTATCGACAACTCTCTTCGCTCTATACTCAAGATCAGATGGCCGCCGGAAAGAATCACCAACAAGAAACAATGGGAACAAACTAAACAAGAACCAATGGCCCAACGAATATGTTGGAGAAAGTGGAGATGGATTGGACACTCGCTGAGGAGGCCGCTGAGTGACATCGCGCGTCAGGCCCTCGAGTGGAACCCGAAAGGGAAGCGGCGAGTGGGACGTCCAAGGGTGACATGGAGGAGATCGTGTGAAGAGGAGCTGAAACGGTATGGATTAACATGGATGCAGGTGAAAAGTACAGCAGAAGACAGAAGCAAGTGGAGACGTGTTTTTGAAGCCCTATGTTCCACTAGGAACCCAAGGGAACATTAGTAATAATAACGTTCTCCGGGTAGTGAATGACTCTAACTGACATGCTGCTAAGTCATTCAGAAGACATAGTATTATGGACGAACTATTATTTGGGCATATTTATTCTGCAACTACTGTATCTTTGTATACGCATGACACTTCCACACTGACAAATTTTCGACCTTCCAATCAGTCCGTTATCCAAATAGTAATCAAAAACAAGATCCGGAGCGAATTTGCAACGCAAAAGGTGTCGAGCATCCATAATTACCTCTGGAAAAAACAGAGTTACCTGATTGGTTGCCCAAGGTCATTTGTTCGTTCGCTAGATAGTTTAGGTTTGGGCTGCTAAATTTTAGAGTTGCCGTCTAATCTATGATTTCTCCATCTCATTTGCTAAATCCTCAAAACGACTGCTTTCCATACCATATTTTCAACTGAGACGCAAACATGATGTTGCGGATATGTTTTCAAATTCCAAAAGCTGTAGACGATTATGGCTAAACTGGGGATCTATGAATCAGGAATAATAAGTTTTATTGTATGGAAACTTCAAAAACTTCCACTGATTTGATTTTGTGTAGTATATAAAATTTAGTCTCTGTATGCGATTTAACATTCCCGTATACAAATAAGTGGTTGTACACTCATTCGCTTTAAACCGAAATATTTCCACTTAAAATAAACCCTCTTATTGCTGTAATATCCACCTGTCCATATATCCAGATAGAATCGATTGGTCTACCTTAGCATTCAAAATAATCGTATCAATGCCTTAATTCTGGGTTGAATATCAAACTGATGCTATATGCTAGCTATGTCAATGACAAGTTTGTAATTTATGTGAATGAATGAAACTGTTATTAAAATATTATCAAAATTAATAATTATTTTTAAGAGAACACACTTTAGAAACAAATCCTAAATAATTTGACCAGTTCCCGCTAAACACTTTCTGCTGGCTACATTATTGCCAACTAGTTCTGACTTCCTCTTCACATGATCTTCTCCGTGTCATACTCGGACACACAGCTCGTAGCTTCCTGTTCAACTTCCAACTGAAAGCCTTCCTGGAATGTGTTATCACCCAGTGGTCTCCTCAACGTATGCTGAATCCATCTGCATATTTTTTCTGGACAATAGGTTGCCAGTTGGTCCTGGCAGAGTTCCTTGTTGTTTGCCTATCATCTCCGACAAGCTATCTGATCTTCAGTATATATTCAAGAAAGGGATCAGCTGTTGGTGAGAATGTATAGTACCATGTTGGAATTGATTTTGGTGACAATCGCACCAGGTCCGCAAAGATAAAAAGCACTGACTGACTTGATATTAGTGTTGGAAATTCGGATCTGTTTCCTTGTACTAAACGCTATAGTCCTTCAAAATGATTTCAGAGTATTAAAGACCTGTCTTGCTTTCCCGATAAGGTCATGATGTTGACATAACCATCTGTGCCATTTGTAGTTCAGACGATTCTGCCCAGCTATGTGGAAAAGAGATGATTTCCTTCACATTTTTCCTTTTTTGGTGATTGCTATTTGTTGCTTTTCGGTTAGGTATCTTCATCAGTTTTGTCTTTTCCTTGTTCACCAGAAGTTGTCCTGGAGGCCTCTTCTGTCAAGCATATTGTACATGTATTAATATTCCCTATTTAGATCAAACATTGAAGAAATATAGACCGTAGTACACCTTTAATCTTAAGGTAACTTAGATTTCCCATTAGTTAGTCTTCAAGTTTTATTCACAATGAGGCAATCTATTGTCCGGTAACGAATTGATTGCATACTACTTACTATTGTTTACTACTTCAGGACTTCTCATTATTATCACCTAGTTCCACGGAAAATATCACTAGCAATTTATGGGAGTTTTTAAATTCTCGTACTTTTTCCAGAAGTGATATGACATTTAAGGAATCAGTTAAAAGTACCGACTTGTGAACAAGTGAAGATATTGCTATGGTGATGTAAGTAGATAGTTTTTCCATCATTTTGTAGCACATTTATTTAGTCATAAATTACAACATTTGTCTTTTGGACCTACTACTATCTTCTTTTTATTTTCTTAAAAGTGGTGAATGTTTTGATCAAAGTCATTCGACTGGAAGTCCTAAATCTACTTGTTACACTTGTCGGCAGTTATCAGTAAGGCACATCTGAAGCATTGAAGAAATGCCTTCTCTTGTATCGCTTGGCAACGAAATGCTTTTTCAATGACTGCCAACAAGCAATACAATCTCCTTTTGATTGACTGTCAATGACTGATACTGAGTACAGTTCATTGCATAGTCATATCTCTTATCATGAAGTCAACATTACAGACTCATTTGGCATTAAAATTTGTGAGCTGCATATTATACGAAAAGGTGGAAATGAAAGAAATAATGTGTAACAATAACAAATTTGGAGTTAGTTCTGAAATTTTGTCTGATAAATTAGAACAGAATTACCCGCACCAGAAACTGGTACTAACTTAAAAATCTTCCAATAATTTATGAATCCATTAGAATAATATGTGCAAAAACTAGAAGAATTATTCTAGAGGGAACGTACACACTTTATATAAACCACAATACATCTATCGCCAGAGTTAGTTATTGGTCACAAATATTTTCACATATTTAGCATTAGATACACATCTTAAGTTCATCGATTTCTGTCATATTCATTACGCCTTTTACGAATCTCTCTGATCTTTGTTACTACTAATATCACTTCGATGATAATTCCACATTTCAATCTCTTCAGAATCATTATCAGCTATGAAATTTTGTTGTGATTGTGTCTGTTGTTGAGAATTTCTCTCTCGATACTCTCTTCTGATTGTTGCTGTAGCTGCAGTTGATAAACGACTTTTCATTTTCTCCTCACCGATTAATCCAACTTTACTACGAATCATAACTATGATGACAATCACAATGATTGCAAAAAAGTTTGCTACCATATGGTAAGCGAATAAATTTGCAGCTGCGGGTAAACTCTCTGTAGCATTTTCATCCCATGTTGGCATCCATGAGAATTTGGGGTACAAAATAGCACCTACCTAAAATAGCAATAATAATAGTAGTATATTATCATTAATGTTGCAGTTTTCATTAAAATTAGGTTCTTGAAATGGATAAAACATCAAACCGTGGTCAAACTTGGAACAGATTAAATCTTTGCTAACTCAATCTTGAAATTTAATCTGTTGCTCGTTAGCGATTGGCTACAAAAAAGAAAGTTGCCTGCAGTAAATTCTAGTGAAAAGTCGTGACTAGTGAGACCCTCCCGGATAGAGTAAGGACAAAAGTTGGCTGATGAAATTAGATGCCTACCAGTCGCACTAAAATCACGAAGTGGTAGAAGTTAGAAAAAATCGACCATTGCGCGGAATTACAGTGACTAAATAGTTCACGAGCATGTCTTGTGACTGGAAGGTCAACGGAACGTACAACCAAATAGTCTCAAAAAAAACAAAAGAGCTATCCAGCACCTCCAGATTTCAGTGATTATGAATAAATTGTGTTCTCAGAGCTGGTTGATTCAATTGCGGAGCTTTCCTCACCCTTCTAGACCACATCTTCAGCGCCAGTTTCAGTATGAAATGAACTTATTTAAGTTCTCCATGAGTGATGTAATTGTATCTCCTGGCAACCACTGTCGTGACTGGTTGTTAATTTACGTCTCTATTGATCACTTTTATTGACTTGGAATTCAAACTTTCTTGTTGTGTGATTTACTTTTTATTAGCTGGTAAATTTGGCCTATAATAATGTGTTTGTTAATTGCTAATTCACTTGAGTACCAGGCTTCTAGGAATTCCTTGGCACTTTTGTTGTTTCCTCTGTTTAAAATTTCGACATTATCCCAATCAAATTGGTTTCCATAATTATCTACATGCATTGATATGAAAGAATATATATCATGTCTTTTTACAGCTAATTTATGTTCTTGTATTCTGATTTGAAGGGGACGCCCACTTTGACCGATGTAATATTTATTGCAGTTCATAAAATTTATTTTGTAAATGGTGTTAATCTTATCCCCTTTTACTGTTCGATCTTTCGGTCTGCACAATATCGGATGAAGTGATTGTGCTGGCTTGTGTGCTATATCTATTTCAAACGGTCTTAATATTCCAGCTGTTATTTCAGAGATATTTTTATATATGGTAGGATGAATTTTCTTGTAGTCTTTGATGATGGTTTCTTGTTGGTGTTATGACTAGAGTTTAAACACATTTTGATAAAATTGTGAGGATATCCATTCTTTTTGAAGACGGTTAGTAGGTACTTTTCCTCCATTCTTTTCAACACCGGAATACTGCTACAGTGTGTTTGAACTCTTTCAAACAATGTCTGCACACAGTTTCTTTTGTGAGTAATCGGGTTATTACAAATGTTTGTGTTCTTTGTTGAAAAGAATGGAGGAAAAGTACCTACTAACCGTCTTCAAAAAGAATGGATATCCTCACAATTTTATCAAAATGTGTTTAAACTCTAGTCATAACACCAACAAGAAACCATCATCAAAGACTACAAGAAAATTCATCCTACCATATATGAAAATATCTCTGAAATAACAGCTGGAATATTAAGACCGTTTGAAATAGATATGGCACACAAGCCAGCACAATCACTTCACTCGATATTGTGCAAACCGAAAGATCCAACAGAAAAAGAAGATAAAATTAAAACCGTTTACATAATAAACTGTATGAGCTGTAACAGACATTGCATCGGTCAAAGTGGGCGTCCCCTTCAAATCAGAATACAAGAACATAAATTAGCTGTAAAAAGACATGATATATATTCTTTCATATCAATGCATGTAGATAATTATGGAAACCAATTTGATTGGGATAATGTCGAAATTTTAAACAGAGGAAACAACAAAAGTGCCAAGGAATTCCTAGAAGCCTGGTACTCAAGTGAATTAGCAATTAACAAACACATTATTATAGGCCAAATTTACCAGCTAATAAAAAGTAAATCACACAACAAGAAAGTTTGAATTCCAAGTCAATAAAAGTGATCAATAGAGACGTAAATTAACAACCAGTCACGACAGTGGTTGCCAGGAGATACAATTACATCACTCATGGAGAACTTAAATAAGTTCATTTCATACTGAAACTGGCGCTGAAGATGTGGTCTAGATGGGTGAGGAAAGCTCCACAATTGAACCAAACAGCTAAGAATACACAATCAATTCTTTTTTGTGCACATGACCTCCAACTATTCTCTATTTTATCAGTGCTTCTCTGGCTGACATCAATCGGTTTTAAAAGTTGCATTTATTGAAATCCCTACAACTTTGTTCTTGAATATTTATTATTTTAGATGATTTCGAAAATGACCAGTATCTTTTGGGGCATGCAATCTGAGCATGACTGCATATACTGTATTATTTATAGCAAGTGTGATCTTATTAAATTGGACACCTGGTAAGTTTTGGTTTAGGTTCATATTTTGTAAGATTAGTTTTGCGTTAGTTGAGGACTAGGGTTAGAGACTGAAGTTTACTTTTTCTTAACTTCTAGATGAAGTTAAATGGACATTCAAAGGGATCAAGATTAGAACTGCTCAGTGAATAATTTATTGGCTGAAGCAACGAATGACAGGAGTTCAAATGGTTGAAGCTGCATGCTCCATAAGATTTTAGATATGGTGAGTTAAACAGTTCCAAAAATGACAGGGCTAAATTCAAAGTTCCAGTCGCTTATCAGCTGTGTAAAATAATCTAGGAGTGCATCCAAACGCTTCGAAAGTCTCCAACGGATGACTTTTAACACTCCCCTAACCTCATTTTCCTTCCTAATAGATTAATTTCATGTCTGTATTCGATCATTCGTAACTTTAAAAAGTACTTTGGCTCCCTTCATACTACATTACTGATCAAAGAAGAGGGATCCTATATGGTGCTTAGTGTGTCCAAAATACATCATTCAATGAAGATTTCCAGCTTTTATAAAGATTTTCTTTATAATTAACTAATGCTACTTCAAATCCCAAGAAAACCACTTGTGGCTCAGGTACTCGCCAGTGACGGTACAAGAAAATCTATAGTAAAAAAACGTAACATTTGCGTGTTCCTTGACTTTACTGACAAGATGTCTTAGCGACACTGTGAAGTAGAGAGACATTGTTCAATAAACATACATCTTGGCAGCATCATTTCCACTACAGGCGGCGTATAATAGAATATCGAAATTATGATTGGAGTGGGAAAGCAAGACATGCCTTCATTATCGGTGGTACAGCGGTTAAGACTCTCGCCGACCATGAACATGTTCGGGGGTTCGATCCCCTACCGAGGCTCACCTGATATCAATGTTCGGCCTGCAAAATTTGGGCTACCGATGTTGCATGATAAAAATTCGAAACTTGTACCAAAAAGCTATAATCAAAAAAATAATCAGTGTGGGAATCTACAGCTGTCGGCACAAGGACAAAGATCTGAATTTTCAATACTAAAGTCAAGTCAACCAGTGCGTGATATCAAAAGCATCTTCAACTGATTTCTGTAGACTTCCATCGACAGCTATCTTCACCGGCTCGATACTAAAGACCAGATGACTGATAGGAAATGATAATCAAGCAACAAAGAATTCAGGTAGTTAGCGGACAAGCCAAAAATCTATTGTCTACACAATAAATATCCAAATGGAAATGGAGATGGATTGGACATACGCTGAGTAGACCGCTGAGTAGCATCACACGCAATTCAAGCCCTCGAGTGAACCCCGAATAGGAAGAGATAGCTTGGACATCTGAGGGTAGCATGGAGGAGGTCAAGTGAGAAGGAAATGAAAGCCTTTGAGCAGTCGTGAAGCTAGCTAGAGAAAAACACAGACAACAGGGTGTAATGGAGACGTGCTGATAAAGTCCTTTGTTCCATTAGAAAATATTAATAATAACAATAGTTAATACACAGCTAGATATCTAGCCGGCATCAAAGGTGATGCAAGCGGGCAGTATCCAATCAGGATTTTTGTTTTTATACTGAGATGACTTAGGTAAAAAAGTGATGTAACACATTCTCCTAAGGGTTAACTGGAATTTCTGAAATTTGTCCGTAAATAATGCCAGTCCCCCGTTGTTTCTGTTTAACAAAATTAAATACCTCTTAATTTGGAAACACATTAAGTTGTATTATTGATTAAGAAATTTAAACTATGAATGAAAATATGTTGCTGCTCTATTTTGACTGAACTGGCGTACACGTATCTTCTAGCATTTCTTCGCGTTTACAATTGTGCCCTAACGTTGCGATTACTCGACATCCGCAACGTAATTCAAAAGGCACTTGCGAAGGAATACGATAGTGTATTATAGCAGCAATCAACAATTCAAAAATCGAGCGAGTGCAAAAGTATCAATTGTTAACATGCAAGATTTAGAGTAATAAATAAATGAAAGTACAATTACACAATGAAAGTATAGTACGATTATGAGTAATAAAACGGGTCACTACAAATATTTAGAAGAACAAAGTCTATTATGATAGAAGAGTATTCATGTGAAACAGCATAACATGAGCTTTATAATTTAAATGTACGATCAATACCTCCTTCTCAATGTATGTAATTATTTAAGACTAAGTTTATGAACTACGTTTTAAACTTAGCCCTTTTCAATTAAAAAATTTAGTTTTCAAGAGTTAGCTTGTAGGGATTTGATTTGTTTTAAGTATGGCAAAGGAGTAACAGACAGCAATGAACAGTTGATTTGTCCTAGTCTGAGACACTTGAGTAGTACGCTGCCATGATCGCACAAAAAAGGATTCAACCTACGACCTCCAGATTACCGTTGACCGTTCAGGCTATGGGATAAAGTTCACTGGCTCATGAACTGTAAGTTCTGTCAATTCAAAATTTCTTTTAGAGCGACCGCCAGCTTAAGTCATCGGAGAGTATTTGTCCTCACATCCCACTTCTTGGAACCCACTGATCACAACCTCTTACTAAGACTCCAGGCAACTTCGCCCTGTGGTCAGTCACAAGTGAGCATAAGATTAATTCCCAAGAGTTTTTTTGTAGAGATTTGATTTGTTTCAAGT